ATAGAGCTCGTCGAGCTGAATCTGAATATGTATAATTTTTTGTAATTTGAGCACGTTTTCGGCGAAAAAACGTTAAAATATTGAAAAATCTGAAAAAACCGACCAATAGGTACCTTTCAGAAAAAGATGATTTTTTCGCCCTCATTTCTTCGTTACTTCTTTCTGAAACTTATTCATTTAGATTCAGAATTTCAAGCTGAATCTAATGGTATAGTTTTTATTTCAATTGAGCGAGCTGTTATGGAGTAATTGTTTCCGAAATGATGCAAGGTGAAAAAAAAATGACCTGGCGACATCTTCACCTTGCAAATCTATGTAGTCTTTCATTTTAGAATATTTTTTAAACATTTATACATCAATCGATTCATCATATGACAGTGAAAAAAGTTACGTATGCTTTTTGAAAAATTTTGTTTCATCACTGAGAAAAGGCACCAACATTAATTGACTATGTTTTCAGAAAAGAACGCCTACGGTTGATCATTAAATTTTTTCTCGTAATTGAATATTATTGACAAATACTTTTAAAAATCGTTATCTATTCAATGAGGTAGAATAGAAAACCGCCAGATAATATTTTCGAAGGATACAAAGACTCCTAAAACTAGATTTCCGGTGGGTGTGGGGTGTGGGTGGTGGTGTACCGTGTAGCGTGTAAGGTGCCGATAATGGGGTGTGAGTGTGGATGTAGATGTCTGTGTGGGTTGTGGCGTGTGGGTGAGGATGTAGGGTATGGGTGCAGGTGTGAGTGTGGGATGCGGTTGTAGGATGCAAGTGTGGGTGCGGGTGTGGGTGTAGGTATGAGTGTGGGTATGGGTATGGGTGTCGGTGCGTGTGTGGATGTGAACGTGGGTGTTGGATGCAAACAGTCTTCATTCATATACCCACTCACATCCGCACCTATACTCACACACGCAGTATATGATTATATGGTGTATTTACATACACTAAGAGTAGGAAAAAGAGACTCTATACACATTAGAAGGCTTGAAATATCAATCCTATTAAGTAGATAACGATTTTTAAAAGTATTTGTCAATAATATTCAATTACGAGAAAAAATTTAATGATCAACCGTAGGCGTTCTTTTCTGAAAACATAGTCAATTAATGTTGGTGCCTTTTCTCAGTGATGAAACAAAATTTTTCAAAAAGCATACGTAACTTTTTTCACTGTCATATGATGAATCGATTGATGTATAAATGTTTAAAAAATATTCTAAAATGAAAGACTACATAGATTTGCAAGGTGAAGATGTCGCCAGGTCATTTTTTTTTCACCTTGCATCATTTCGGAAACAATTACTCCATAACAGCTCGCTCAATTGAAATAAAAACTATACCATTAGATTCAGCTTGAAATTCTGAATCTAAATGAATAAGTTTCAGAAAGAAGTAACGAAGAAATGAGGGCGAAAAAATCATCTTTTTCTGAAAGGTACCTATTGGTCGGCTTTTCAGATTTTTCAATATTTTAACGTTTTTTCGCCGAAAACGTGCTCAAATTACAAAAAATTATACATATTCAGATTCAGCTCGACGAGCTCTATCTAACGATGTATAAAACAAAAAAACTTTTTTTTTATGCTACACTTTTGCCTTTGGTGCACCTTATAAAATATATAAAAATAGTCAGTATACGAATTTTAATTATCACTAATTGATACTGAAGTGATGACAGCAAGAACGAATGAAGAGAACTAAAACAGAGTATTCAATTAATTAGTTGAAATAAGGTAATTTCAAACGACAGTTGATGTATGAGAAAAACACTTTTATTATTAACGGAGAATCTCTTTATTGGTTGTTCAATGTTACCAATGATTCTTTCTTCTTCAGCTGTCCGTATAGAAGATCTTTTTTTGACAGAGAATAATTGTCATTAGCTTCTTGTCTGTCAGATAAACTTATTCACAAAAGCAACAACAATATGCCTATACCATTAGAACAAATTCAAGTAATTGAAGATGAAATTGAAAGATTTGAGTATGAAGATTATGATAATAAAAATCTTCATAGAATATAATTACATCATCTGAACAAGATTTTTCTTTTTCAAATAGATCATTGCCTATCAAACATTCAGTTCATTATGATATGAAATCAATAACTAATCATGAATATCAACCATTAAGTCTTATGTCTGAAATAGAACGATCATCAATTGATTACATTCTTCGTCGACGATATATTGCACATTGGGGTTTACCAGGTACGGGAAAAAAAACAAGCAATTACTCTAATCGATGACTTATATTTATGAAATAAACAAATATTTTTTTTTCTCTTTTAATTTAAATAGAATGGCTTGGTGATAATCATTTTTTATTACAAAAACATCGACCACCAACTAATTCTATTCGCGAATGTCTGATATCAATTGCATCAATACATAGTGAAACAATTAATATTTGGACACATTTAATTGGTACATTCTGTATTATTGTAGCATATATACTTTTTCTTATTGATAATTATTCACAATTGGATATAAGTGATATTATATCATTTAGTATTTTCTTTATATCAGCTATATTATGTTTAACATTTTCAACTTTATTACATATATTTATTAACTATTCACCACGTGTTTTAATTACTGTTTCAAAACTTGATTATATAGGTAGATTTTTTCTTGTGTTATGTAAAAATAGGAAAAAACTTGTTCGTAATGACTAAATAAATATATTATGATAGATATTTGAATGAGAGAATTTGTATGTGTTGCTTGAGGCTAAAAACTACTTTGGATCAAATGTTTCTACTAGATGATGATTTGTTTGTTTCTAATAAATCTAAGAAGATAATTCATGAAAAGTTTAGACAGTTTTATGATCTTTCACAATGTCTGTTGAAGATTTATAGTCATATTAGTTGATGTGTTAAATGACTTGAAAATGAATCTATAACGGATGATAAGAATGTTTGTAGATAAGATGTTTGTCCATTTTTGATCTGCTAGAAAGTATTTCTAACGAATCAAAAGCTATGAGTAAGGATCAGGATATCGTGTGCTTAGAAATGTTGTCTCAATTTTTGCTCGAAAGAAACGAAATAATCTTTGAAAAGCCAAAAAAATTAGTTTAGATTTTCACTATTGCAATTTGAAGCTAAAAGTTAGAATTTTTATTTATATATCAGCTTGTAGATCAAAAACTAACCTACAAAATGCACTACTTATACTGAAATGCTTTCAAGCAGGTCAAAATGAACAAACATATTTACTGGAAACATCGGTCCATAAGTCCCGTTCAAGCTAATTTTTTAGACTTTTTACAGATTATTGGACTATTTTCGAACAATAACTAACAAGGAAACTTCTTGAACTACTCCATTCCTATTTGAATGATTTTTTTGCCTATAGTTACTACATAGTATCATAATAAAAAGACTAAAAAGATTTAAGTTCTTATTGATAGTTTACTAAACTATCGAATTTTTAATGTATTTTTTTTTCTATAGATCTCACATTTTGGAAAACTTAGGATCTCTAGAAAAACTTGATAGCTCAGTCAAATATCAACAGGAACCTAAATCGCTTTAGAATTTTTATTAGAACATTATGTAGTATCTATAAGCAAAAAATTATTGAAATCGGAAGAAAGTAGTTGAAGAGGTACACTCACAAGACAAAATTTTAGTCCTAGCTCATAGCTTTTGACTCGTCGGAAAGTGAGCAAACATCTTGTCTAACACTTTTCGATCATCTGTCGTCATAAAAATTATTTAGCTACATATGCATTATTTTATATAGACATAAATATATTAATATTTGGTTCAATAGTTCCTGTTGTACATTATTTATTTTATTGTTATTTTCAATTAAAAACTAAATATATTAGTATAGTTTTTGTACATTCAATTGCATCAATGATTGGTACAAGTAGTGCTGCATGTTCAAAACCACGTTATCGTCCATTTAAAGCTATTTTATTTATTGTTCTAGGTCTTTATGGTATAAATAAGATTCAATTTCTTTTTTTTCTAAAAACTTTTTTGTTTTTTGTTTATCTATAAGGTATTGCTCCAGCAACTCATGCTTGTATTCTTCATGGTTTATCACGTATGTTTGAAATGGGATTTTTATATTTATGTATTATGGCTGTGACATATATTGCCGGTGGTATTATTTATGCAATTCGAATACCAGAACGATATTTTCCTGGTAAGCAAAAAAAAAATTGATATTTATTCATCGTTTGTCTTTCTTTTTCACATAACAGGTCGTTTTGATATTGTCGGACAGAGTCATCAAATTTTACATATTTCTGTAATTGCAGCTGTTTATTTACATTTTTATGGTATTTGTTGTTTATTTCATAATATAATTCGAACAGAACAATGTATTATGCCGATAACATTAAAATTTAGTATAACTGATTTATCTATTTCTTCTTAAAAAATTTATTTACGTAAAAGATAATAATTTCGTGATTTTATTTTATCATTTCTAGCTGTTTTCTTTTTTGTACCTTTCAATCTCTTTTCTTTGTATTGTTCTTTGCAATATAATGATGTGAAAATATTCAATTTTTATTAAAATTATCCTTTAATAAATTATCATCAGTGACAATTATATAAAGTTTTATTGTATGAATGATTACAATACCATTAGTTACTTATAGATCTTGTTGAACCAATTGTTCAATATTATTTTCTGTTAAATTATGAAATGAAAATATTTAGATATTATATTTTTAGTTTTTTATGAAAAAAGGTCGAATTATTACAACGATATTAGGATAACAAGGTTATTTACGAGTTGTATCAATAATTTTCAGCGCCTTTGTACATTGAACAGCACTTCTGATGAATATAATTTGTCAAAAGTAATTTATCCTCACAGATTATTGATGAGTGCATCATGGATTCTAAATGACTTCATTTTCTGTTAGAAAATAGATACATGCAATAGTTCCACATATTCTTATCAAGATATTTCTATCAACACTTTACTCTGATAATAATGATATTTAATCGAAAAGAAATACATTTGAAAAGTCAATCTGACCAATCGAGTTCTATTCCAAGTTCTTCTGAAAGTCGTTCAATGCTCAATTCCACCTTCCATCGATCATCATGCCATGGAGACAGACATTTCCTGTAGATATCTAATGCTTGTTGATAGTAATCAAGTGCCAACATAGATTTATGAAGTTTTTCGTAAATCTCACCTATGTTTGATAAACTATGACCAATGTCTTCATGATCTGGTGATAGAGCTTCGAGACGCATTAACAAATAATTTTGTTCATATATAAGAGAGAGTTCATGCTGTCCTCTCGTTCTTTGTACTTGTGACAAACAATTAAGTACGTTAGCGATGGAGAGACTTCTTGAAGGTAGATTGGCCTCTTTAATTAATAAACATCTTTCCAAATATTCAATAGCTAGATCGAATTGAGAATTTCTATTGAAATTAGCAGCAATCCAATATAGGCAATCAGCAATTTCAACATGATCATGGGAATAATATTCTTTGAATATGATTAATGCTTGTTGATAAAAGTCGAGAGATTCATGATATTTTGTTTGCTTAAAAAGAGTACCACCGATATTCTTGAGATTGCTAGCAATTTTGAACTGATCATTAGGCAAGTTACTTTTGAGAACAGTCAATGCTTGTTGTTGAAAGTCGAGAACCTTATCATATTTTCTTTGTCTTTTGAAAACTTCAGCTATATTGTTCAGATAAGTAGTGGTATTCGAATGATTGGATGAATCCTTCTTGTAAAATGCCAGTGCTTGATAATAAAAATCGAGAGCTTCATCATATTTTTCTTGGATACCAAATATATTACCAATGGAATTTAGACACGTAGCAAGATTTGTATGACCGGATGGATAATATTGTTTATAAATCGTCAGTGCTCGTTGGCAGAAATCGGAGGCTTCATCATACTTTCCTTGCATAATTAGGGTCATACCGATATATTGCAGATTCTCAGCAATATCAACATGACCAGATGGATAACAGTTTTCGAGAATTCTTAAGGCTCGTTGATAACAGTCGAGTGCTAGATTGTATTCTCTTTGATTAATTCGAATGTCACCGATGCGATTCAAGCTATCCGCAATTTTTTCATGATCAAAGGAATACTTTTCTTCTCGAATTGTTAATGCTCTCTGTTGAAATTCAATGGCTTCTTTGTATTTTTCTTGTTTGCTCAGAACATCAGCAATATTGATAAGACCATTAGTAATGTCAACAGGATTCGATGGACAGCATTTTTCGTAGATTCTCAGCACTCTTTGATAGAATTCAACAGCTTCATCATATTTTCTTTGTTTTTTCAGAATAGTAGCGATGTTATTCAAACTATTAGCAATGTTTACATGATCAGAAGGATAATATTGTTCTCGTATCATCAATGCTCGTTGTTGAAACTCGATAGCTTCATTGTACTTTCCCTGGTCTCTTAGAACATTGGCAATATTTATCAGATTATCAACAATACCAACATGATTAGTTGCATCATAGTTCTCTCGAACTGTTAGTGCTCGTTGATTGAAGTCAAGAGCTTCATCATACTTTCTTTGCCAATGCAGAGCTTTCCCAATATTACTAAGAACGGTAGCAATACCAGTATAACCAAATAGATGGAATTTCTCTCGAATAACTAATGATCTTTGATAGAAATCAATAGCTTCATCATATTTCTCTTGGCTATATAGAACATTACCAATGCAATTCAAGTTATTAGCAATGTCGACATGACGAAATGCATGATGTTTTTCTTGAATAGCCAAGGCTTTTTCATAAAACTGAAGAGCTTCATCATACTTACTTTGTTTATATAGCGTGTTACCAATAAAGCTGAGAGTATGAGAAGTTTTGATGTGACTATCAGGATAGAAGTTCTCTTGCATTGAAAGTGCTCGTCGATAATAGTCAATTGCTTCATCATACTTTCTTTCATCATATAAAACATGACCGATACAATTGATAGTATCAGCTATGATGACACTATCTGATGGATAATATTTCTCCTGAATTTTTAATGCTTTTTGATGATATTCAATTGCTTGATCAAATTTTTGTTGTTTACGAAATGTTGTGCCAATATTAATGAAGGTTATCGCAATATTCACATGACCATTTGGATAACACTTTTCTTGCATTTCGAGTGCATGTTGATAAAACTTCAAGGTTTCATCATATTTTTCTTGTCCAATGAGAACATTACCAATGTAATTGAGAGTGTTGGTAATCTCACGCTCACATGGTGGACAATATTTTTCTTGCATATCGAGTGTTCGTCGATGATAATCAAGAGCTTCATGATATTTTTCTTGCTTGCATAATATAATCCCAATGTTGTTCATATAAAAGGTAATGGAAAAATGATCATGTGAACTATGTTTTTCTACAGTTGATAGTGCTTGTCGAAGAAAATCAACAGCTTCATTGTACTTTCCTTGATCACATAGGATGTTGCCAATATTGTTGAGGCTTGAAGCCGTTGAGACATTACCTGAAGAATAATAGCTCTCTTGCATCGTTAGTGCTCGTTGGCAATAGTATAGAGCTTCATCATATTTTGCTTGACAATGTAGTACATTAGAGATGTAATTGAGTGTGTTAGCAATGTTTGCATAATAAGATGGATAAAATTTCTCTTGCATTGTCAATGCTTGTTGATGAAAATCAAGAGCTTCATCATACTTTCCTTCTTTCTTTTTTATATATCCAATGTTGTTTAGAGTACAAATAATATTGTCATGACCTGAAAAACAATATTTCTGAAGAATTTCTAGAACTTGTTCATAATATGATAGAGCTTCATTATATTTTCCTTGAGCATAGTGAACATGTCCTATTTCATTGAGACTAAAGGCAATATCAACATGACCAGATGGATAATACTTTTGCTGCATTGATAATGCTCGTTCATACATCTTCAGAGCTTCATCATAGTTGCCTTTGAAACAGAGAATATAACCGATGTAGTTGAGGGTGGAAGCGATGTATACATGACCATTTGGATAATATCTTGTATAGATTGATATCGCTCGTTGACAGAAATCTAGAGCTTTATCGTAATTTTTTTGATGAATAAGAATGCTACCAATGTACTTAAGGCTAACAGCGATATCAATATGAGGAGATTGATAATATTCTTCGAGCATTGTCAGTGCTTGTTGATGAAAGATAAGTGCTTCATCATATTTTGCTTGTTTATCAAAGATCTTGCCAAAGCTGCGAAGAATAGCAACAATAAGCATATTACTACCTGGATTAACCTCGCCTGTTTGCAGCCAACTAGTTTTTCGCATATTTCGGCATATTTCTAGCAAACGTCTTTCGACTGGGTTTTTGCTGACGAGTTCTGTTCTATTTGCCGTATATTTCGACAGGAACTGGCAGGAAATTCGTCGGAATTTTTTAATGCAATACCATCGAAAAATCTGCCGGGATTTTTTAGTACAATACCATCCGGAAATTCGTCGGAATTTTATAGTACAATACCATCGAGAACATGATTGAAGGAATTCGCTTGAATTCAATAAAACCGGCAAGAACGACGTGCAAACTTTACTCAGCTTACTGCTGCGTCGGTGATTCGGTAAACAGGGCCTATTAACTTTGGTACAGGAAGAATTTTCTTTTCGCATTGCCAAAACTCGTTCATAATAATCATGAGCTTCTTCGTACTTTCCTTCTAGATAAAGAATCTCACCAATATTGAACAGTATATCAGCTGAATCCTTGAGTCGTATTGGTTTTACATTCATCATCCGTTCATAAGCAAGATCATAATATCTTCGTGCTTCACTCCATTCTCCTTTCCATTGAAGAACTTCACCAAGACTATATTCAATCTTTCCAATATCTTCATTGTTACTATTCGAGTTGTTCAATAAATGTTCAAAGAATTGTTGTGATTGATTCCATTGACCCATATCACACATCAATCGTCCAAAGAGAATTCTCATACTTAAACCTTCCATTTGACGATGTGAGTCTTTTATATATTTTTCTTTGATAATTTCACCTTGATTTGATGCAATCATTTCAATAAACCACATATCTTCTTCCATTCTCATACTTTTTAATCGAAAAGTGACATTTGAATCGAAGAAAATTTCTTGTTGTTCTTCACTTGAAAATTCACTAAAATCAACACTATCAATAGCAATGATATTGTTGTTCAGCTGTTTTAGATCGCATTGAATTTCTAGGAGAACAGAAATGAGATGAGTTTGTTTTGAAGATTTTATTCCTTGATTAAATGCAGTTGAACGATGAATATTTGTTCTCAAAAATCCATTGATTGAAACAAGTTTACCTTCATTCTCTTTGAATTTCTTGATTTGATCATTTGTTAATTTCATTCCTCGATAGATTAATAATATTTCTTTATCAGATTGAATCATTTTTTGATGTTCTCGAATGAAAGTTTCTCTCAAATCTTTCATAAAATATCGAAATATATAGAGTTGATTGAAATCTTTGATTTTCAATGCTTTTTTGATGATTTTGTAAAGAAATGATTTTTTCAAATACCATCGAAGAGCTTCTTTTGATTGATATTCATTTTCAAACTTCCTAATCATTTCTAATTCTTTAATATTGTCGTTATAATAAGAACGACATGCATCAATCATTTCTTGTTTAGTTTCTTCATTATGTGTTAATTCAAAGAGAACATCATGATAAAATTGAAACCAAAGAAGATCAGCAGTTTGTTTTGATAGATCTTTTGTTAAGTATTCATCTTCATCGAAGAAACTGAATGTTTCTAAATGTTCATCGAGAAAATCGATTTGTTCTTGGATTGATAAACTCAATAAATCGAATTCATCATAGATACCAATAAGTTTTGAATGTTCAACAAGTAAATGTTCATGATCTAATTTTTCCCAATTGAAAACAAATATGCTATCAATTTGAGGTAACATTGCAATATGAGGTAATATTTGTGATGCATCATAAATTGAAGAGATGAACAAGATTTTTTCATTATGAATCGATTGAATGAAAGTAATGCAAGATTCGAGTTGAGTATGGAATACAACATAATCATTAATTTGACGTAGTTGTTTCATTGTTTGTTCTAGATGATTATTGGAATTGATCTTTGAGTTGAACCAAATCAGAGTGATATCCTCTTTGTTATTAGTTCTGTTCATTGTTTCTAATGAATTATCCAAGATAATGGAACGTGTAGTAATGAATGTTAAAAGTGTTAAAGTAGTTGTTCAATTGAAATGTCAAAAAGATACTTGAATAAGAAAACAATTGACTTTAAATCTGGAAATAATGAAAAAAACTAGAAATTTTCAAAAGACATAAGATGTGTGAGTGTCCAGGTCACTCATTGTACCATCGGCATTAATAGATTCCATTGATTTCCAAGAGATTTTTGAACTCGAAATATTGAATCATATTGCTAACTAAGTAGTTCTTCTCAAAAAAAATTGATAAAAGAAACTAATCTATCATAAGAATAATCAGTGGAATTAGATTACAAGGAATCAATTGTTCTCGACTTTTCAAGAGCTGGATGATAGTTCATTTTGCGATATATGTTTCAAGGAAAAGAAACTAGTCTCAATCATTCTCTTAAATATTTCATCAGCATGATAAAATCACATATTAGAAAAGTTTATACATAGTTTGAGAGCATTATAATAATAGTTAATCTATTTTCTAACAACCTAATTCTATAATATCTAAGAAGACAATACGAAACATTTTTATTCAAGGATATGTATTTGACAAATAAAAATTAAGAAAGACATATCTGAAAGTATGATAATCAGAGAATCAAGTATTTAGGACAATTATTTCTAGCATTTCTGCAACACTTCGTATTTCTCTACAAATACTAGAGAGTTACTAAAATCAATCTCATTCTTGAAAATAACACTAGATAACGCTTGCCTATGAAGTCGCAATGTATAGGATTTGAATCGCAAAAAAAAACATTGATTCTTGTTCATATGACAATGAGTAAGCAAAGAAGAAAGAAATAATTCTTGTCGTCTCTTTATGTGACTCTACTTACCACCTAGAATTGGACTAGTAGAATAAATGATGATGTCTAAATATGTGCGCTAATAAGCTATATGACACATACATCATTGAAAGGAAGTGATTAAATTTTTCAACTTCAATGTGTTTATGTGTACAAGGTAAGTACTTTTTTCTCTCGCAACGTAAATAAACTACGTATTAGGTAAACATCACGCCACTGATTTTATTCTGTTTCTTTACAATATCAACCCTCTCTCCCTCTCTTATTCATTTTCTACCTTTATGCGCATCGCAATTTCCCTCAAACGCATGACGATGTATCTTCGCAAGCCAGTAATTTCTTCCGAATGTAAAAAACAAACAAGTTAAGAGGTTTCAAGTTTGAGTAGCCAATAAGATGAAAAATTAGTAGAATTATCATTGATTCCTAGAAAAGATGCTGATTATTATTCATTTTAATCGTTAACATCATTATTGAAGAACATAAAAATTTCATGTATGTACAGAATTTTTTCGACTGAAGTATCATAAAATGCAAAGTTGTCCTAGTTATAGATTGATCTATGAATTAAATCGTATAATTTGAATGAAACTGAAGAGTGAACAATAATTCATGTCTAATCCATGCTACGATCGAATATTCGAGTCTATGATGAAAACAAAGTTCAGAAGAGCATATGAGAGTAACTTCATTGAGATTCACTACTTAAACATCTTGCTGAATAATCTAGAAAATCTAAAAAAAATGAATACATATCTTGCTCATCCTTGAATGTGTACATATGATTTTTGGCCACAATGACCATTAGTAAGTCGACTCTTTCCCTGGTGTGATTAGCTTGTTCGCTTCAAGTAAATGAATTTAAAGATTTTTTACCAGTAAAATCATTTCTAGCATCATTTCTCTTATGTTTGTATATGGATTATCGATTTGTCAATCATATAGATTTTTTTTAATGATGAGGAAATTTTCTTTGCAGTATTTTTAAATACTTACATATCATTAGTCATGATTGCTATGCTCTATCATTGAAAAAAACTATGTAGAAAATCATTGAAGTGTGCTATTGAATGTTCTATTGATGTTTTATCCAGGATATTTTTATTTGGAAAAATATTCTCACAAAATTAATTTATTATAGTACTTTGCCCTATACAATGTGTTTATCGGTGTTTATAGCAGATTTAATCTAATTTATTTCTTGTATATTAGTTTAAAAAAATGATAAAGAATCAATTCAAAATTTCAGTTAGATTTACAAAGTGATAATAGTCAAAAAACAGGACTTCTAAGAACACAAGATGGAAGATGAAAGGAATTAAATAAAATATATGTATCTACAAATGAACAATACTTCTTTGTTGTTTTAAGAGCAAGTTGTATGACCAACTGCTAATTTCTAATTGACATTTGATATTCTGCTTCTACAAGGTTCATCACTGATTCTTGTTACTTTGAATGAAGGCATTCCAACCCGAAGATGGATTTTCAGTGATATAATTTGTCATAAATGAATATTACAATAAACTAATGAAAACTTCGAGAACAATTCATAGGAGCACTTATTATCTCAGGATTATTCATTAATCACTAAAACCTAGTTATCTTAGATAATCTGAATCAAAAGCAATTCATTCAATCGATAGGCTCTTTGTGAGATGCTGAAAAGATATGACACATTGTATTCTACACTATAAAAACATGAATCTGTTTCAAACTTAGCAGTGGCCGAACTCTGTGAAGCCTGAATTTCTGGAACTCTCAAAAATACAATTTCATTTACGGATCCTATAGAACTCAATGAACTCTAGAAAGTATGCGGTTAGGGTTTCAATATTCTCTACACGTACAGCTATATCCATATTTAAATGTTCACAAAAAGATTGTACAGTATATTTGTCATCTCTCATGACATTTCTGGATGTAAGACACGACTGCAGTTATTTAAAACTTGTAGATAAGCAAAGCATGATGATGTAAATTTCGTTTGAAATGCTAGGGCTGATCTATTACTTCAATTTCAACAAATTCTTCAGTTCCGAGACTTCCTTGAGTTCTGTGAGTAACATTGTACTTTTGAGAGTTCTATAATTTCAGAACTCATGAAAATCGAACATACCGCTTCAGACTGGACAAATATCTAACCGCAATTGTTCGAACACTCTGTAAAATAGAAAATAGTTAATGTAGTCAAATCGATTATCACTATCCAGACGAGTTATATTTATTTAATCCGTTTTGAGTGTGGGTATAGGTTCGTGCAGACTGTGGATGATTGGGTTCAAATAGGAATTTTTTTCTTACTAATATCCAGTGGTTTTTGTGTACATCACTAAGTAAGTGATCAAAATTTCAGCTGTTTGTTGGCTACTTTTGGAAAAAAAGCCAATGTACAGTTATAGTAGTGGACAATAATTTTCACTTTAGTCGAACTTTATCAAATGAAATGATACGAGGAAAACTGTTTTATTGTGTCAAAGCTTATGGCACGCTCTAGCCATCAACGTACTATAAATTCATCATGGTTTTCAATCAATTCAGAAATATGATTCTTCAGATTATAGACAAGTTTGACGGTCAAGTCCTCGGATAATGATTTCTAATCAAGCTTTATTACTGAAACCAAGGACCATTGTTGAGAGCTTTTTCATTTTTAAATCTTTATGAGGAGTTGGCCCTGTATTTTTGATAAATCAAGGCTGGATGTCATCAATAACCAATTCATCTTGTGAACTCTGTTATTCATTTTCCAAGTGAATTCCAATTTCAATTTGTATTTGAAATGGTTGTCTTCTTGTAGTTTCTACAAGGTCGAACTGTTAGCAACTTATTTTCGGGCTATTGGCAAGAGACTATACTAATAAATATTATAAATTAATTCTAGACTCTGCTTAACATAGATGATATGATCGAAGCCATAACTTGAGAAGCTACTTCAAATATTGACTTTCATAAGATGCTTGATAGTTCGTACTGAACTTTTGATGGAATTTAGTCAAATGATTATCTTGCCAGAAAAGATCGTTTGGTTTTAGTTCGTTGTTTTGTGACATTGAGCCCATTATAAACGATTCTCTTGATGATTGTCAGTGAGCAATGCAATCGACATAGGTTGATCGTATTTTGTTCCTGTAGTGTTCAAGTACCATCGCATTATTCCCTCGTTGATCTTGACTATTTTTCTTTTCAATCGATTGGAGACGTCTCAGGTTGTGACAAACGTCTATAGTTCGGCGACTGAAACAAAACTTCGCTCTATATTTTTGAGGTCGTTGCACAAGATCGACTAGATCGAGTTGAATCTATCAAGTCTGTTGGCGGCATTCACTGTTTGAACCAATGTTTCATTATCGTTATGCCGCAATGGATTGCTTCACATCATAGTCGGACTGATGAGCCTCGGTCTCAACATATGTTCAGATAAAATAACTATTTCGCATCACTTATACACTGGTAAGGTCAAACGTAAAACTATGTGAGAGTTAATAATTGAACACATCGAAAGAATGAATAGTGATTCTGATTACGAAGTAACTAGTGCTGGTTATTTGCACTAATTTTATAGAGAGTTCCACCTTTTAAGAACTAATTATGCGTTGATTGATATGCTTGCGGTGTTCTTTTTTTTGTTTTATCTTCATTGTGGCGTCAGGCTTTTTAGAATTGTTTTGCAAAATTGATCAAGTTATAATTTCGAAAAATAATGAATATCATTGTTTGTGTGTTAATTAATATATATGATAGGGCGTAAGATCGGCTGTAGATATCATATATAAACTGAATTATTTGTCAATTAATTCAATGATTATAATAAGAAAAACGGATTTTAAAAAATGAAAAATAATGAACACATAGCAATAATGCAAACAAAAAATAGAGCATTCATAGAAAAAATAAAAAATTTTTGTTCGAAATGCAGAAATTAGAGAGATTCTTACTCTAACGTTTGATTATCCTGCAAAACAACTATAGTTCACAAGAAATGTTCCACTTTACGTATTTTGTATCAGTTTAATGCGGTAGAGAACATATGTAAGTTGTAAATTTCAGTCTCAGAAGGGCTGCTCT